ACAAAATCATCTTCACATTTATAAAATTTATAATTTTCAGTGTATATGAATCAATTAATTGCATGCAAGATTTACTGAACCCTAAGAAAAAGAAGAAAACGAAAAGAGGAAAAACATACATGATGAACTGATGAAGAAGACGATACTCTTCTTGAATTCTGACTTTTGCATATCTGTTGAATTTATTCCCTTTTTGGTTCTCTAATTTCTGGCTGCCATTTAGTTTCTAGGTATTTTATTGTTTTGTTTGGGCGCAAAATACCTTTTTAAATGGGCAATTTTCTTTTTTAAGAAGGGTCATTTCTGATTTCTTTTCATACAATTGAAAAATCAAATTTTAAATGAGGAGTGCTCCTTAGATTTAGAGGCGTGAGCCTCATATTTTTAACCTCAAAAATACCGCCTCGCATACTACATGCGCCTCTCACTACCGCCTTTTTAAACCATGCTCATGTTGGTCAATTTTATTGTTTAGCTGACCTGAAAAAATGTAGAGAAAACTGCCCCCCGGAGCCCTTATGTGGTGCGCATATCCTATCCATTGAGAAGGATCATAAAGATATACGAGACACCAACCACCATCACGACAACAGGGGATAAAGCAAGAAACGTGCACAAGATATAAGAATTAGGGACAAGAGACATTCTTCCTGAAGAAGATTTTATGTTAACATGTTCAAACAATAAAAGTAGGTGGAATGTGTCTTTAGCGTCTTTTATTTCTTATAGCCCATTAATAAAAAAGAATTGCCTTCTTCCTTAGTCTAGTATGATATGATAAACAGAAAGAAAAACTTAAATGAACAGGCAGGTAAAACCTGAAGCATTTCTCCAAGTGCTTCCTCTGGAGACATTCTTAAACCTCCTTTTCCAAGACCAAGCCTCTGAGACAAAACTGCTCAGCTTCAATGCCAGGGTACAACAACCATTAGCAAGCAAAATATGTAAGCTTAAATAGGCAAAATATTATTATTTCACGAGATTCAGCCAGATAAGCCAACCATCTAGGGTAAAAAATTAATGAAGCTAGAAAATTTGAAAGTACATATACCTTTCAAATCCACCTTCGTATCCGCCAGAGCAGAAACGATATAAAATCTGTGTTTCTTATCCTGACATAAAAGAAACAGAACACATTTCATTTATGGTTTTTGAACATATGAACAAGCACGTAATGATAATTCTATTGCATCTTTCCATGTTAACCTTCTCACCTTCAAGAATAAATTTTTACTCAATGCACCTTTCAAGTGCCCAACATACTTTGCCTGGAACAAAACAAAAGGCTGTTTTCAAACTCTGCTAAAAATGAGGACGACTATGAGATTTATATATTCTTTTACCTGAGCTTCGACTGTCAAAACAACAGGATGCTCATATTGGGCAAAATCTATTTGAAGCTCCTGAAAAAAACCCAGCGTAATGATTACAATAAGAATCGAACAGAAATGCAAAATGATTTACAACATCAATCACCTCAACTACGCATCCCCTGAAGACTATAATATACCAACATAATTATTGATAAAATCACCATTTCGTAAATTACAGTAGGAAAAAGTGAAAATCGCCTTCAATTACATAAAATATTAATACATTTCTGCATTTAAAAAAAATCAATTCATGACCTCGTACTTGATTTAGGAACTAAAAAAAGTAACGGGAAAATATTGAAAATTTTGAGGGTAAAAAACCTGTAAATGAGCTAGCAATTTCTCTTTGGTGTAACCCATTTTCAATCACTCTGAAAATTTAAGCGCCGATCGTAATGTTACTGTTTCTTTGGGCATTAGAGAGTTTTCTCTGGTATCGGAGATACAATTGGGGTTTACAGTCTTGAGTTGAAATACCTATAATGCCCTTGGGTTTTTTGCCCTTTTTTATTAGCCCAAATATGCAGTATTGGACCAATTTTGCTACATATGAGCTTTATGGGCTTTTGTGGACCCATGTTTGCTTGCTTTAAATTAAGAGAAAATTACAGCTACACCTTTTTTTAGATTTCCAATTTCATAAATAAGATTTCAAGTTTAACATTTCAAAAATCAGACTTTAATTAATATTTTTAAAAATATTTTTTATTTTTAATTTTATATCTATATACAATAAAATTATTTTAACCCAACCAAACCCTAAAATCATTTCAACCAATCTCCTCACTTCCCATCTCTCCCAACGCCGCCGCCTCCTCCCAACGTCCGTTGCCGTTCTTCTCTCCGGCGACGGCCGTTCTTCTCTCTCTCTCTCTCACACACTTCTCCTTCTATCCGGCGAAATAGCAGGCGGAGATGGTGTTTTCCACGGCGGATTGGGCGGTTGGTAAACAGATCTGAATCTCTAGTTACTGCCTCTACTGAAACTCCAATAAAAGAGACTGCTGGTGGCGATTTGGTTGTGGGTTCGAGGAGTGCTGCTTCTCCTCGCAATCGATCGCCTACAGGTGGAGATTCGTGATCCTGGGGAAGAAAAGCCTTGTCTGGTTGGGCACGTTCGACCGTGTCTGGTGGGGATTCGGCTGTGGATTCGAGGAGTGCTGCTTCTCCTCACAATCGGTTGTGATTCGGAGGTTATATCAGATTTTGGTGGTTGGGTGAGTTTTGTTGGGTAGCAGTTTGGGTGTGTGTCTGGTGGGGATTCGAGTAGTGCTGCTTCTCCTTGCAATCGGCTGTGATTCAGTTGTTATGTCGGATTTTGGTGGTTGGGTGAGTTTTGTTGGGTGGCGTTTGGGTGTGCTGTGGTCGTGTTGGCGGTGGTGGTTTTGGAGGTGGTGGTCGTGGTCGTGGCGAAGTGGGGTTTTGTTGCTGGGATGTTTGCGGCGGCGGCAGTGTTGTGTTGGTGGTGGTCACAGAGGATTTGTTGATTGTGACCATTAAATTGGGTGGTGTGTGACCAATAAAGAATGAATTGTGACCGATAAATACTTTGTAACCCACAAATTTATTAATTTGTGATCAATAAAAGTTATTTGTGACCTATAATTCGTTGTTTGTGACTATAAAATAAGATGTGTGACTTAAAAATTTTATGATTTGTGACCGATGAAACAATTGTGATTTTAAAATTTTTAATTTGTGATCGATGAATGAATTGTGACATATCAAATTTTTGAATTGTGACCTTAAAATTTTTGAATTGTGACCAAATTGTAGAGATCTGTGACCGTTATATATTTATTAATAAAATATATAATTAATTAAGTAATTCATAAATAAATTTAAATAAAAACCTGATTTTTGAAATTTAAAACATCAAACCTTAATTTTGAAATATGTATAAGTAAAAACAGGATTTATGTATACTTCCCTTAAATTAATAATAATTATAACTCGTTAATTCGCTCGAACTCCATATTTTGTCATTTCACTTGTTTTCTCGAATGACATAAGAATGTCAAAATGTAGTACAATTTTTTAAAATAAAATTATGGTTAAAAGATACTTTTTATAAAGTAAATTTTAAAAGTAACATTTGCAATCAACTTTTGCATAAAACACAATAAAGCCATGTTCAAACAACCACTATACGATCTTTAGAACTTGTTTGGTAAGAATTTTTTGGGGGAATAATTGATTTTAAATAGTGATATGATGGGAAATGTGTGGTTGAAAAAGAAGAAAAAATTATTGATGTGATGGAAAATATTATTTTATTGAAAAATGTGTGGTTGAAAATAAGAATTGATTTACTGTAGAAAATGAGAATCCCTACCAAACATGCCCTTAATTTATTATTTCTCAAAATTGTTGTATCGTTTTATTTTGAAAAGAAACTTGTCCCGTTTCGCATGACATTATATCATAGGATTCCGATGAATTTTATGTGACTATTTCAAAAGTTAGTGAAACCTAAGAAATAAAATGAATTTTTCCTAATTTTTGTTTTTGAGACCACATGATATGATACGTTGCAATGAACTTGAAATAATTATTGAAAGGTGTGGGCCCTCTATGTTTGTTGAGTAGGGTATTTTTGAACAAGAATATATTCATTCCAAATGATTTTGTAGAATAAATAGCTTGTGGCATGGCCCACAACGTTGTCATAAAAAGACCAAGTACAGGGTAAGTGAACAAATTGGGAATGGAACCAAGCACTTTCAAAGATAGGGTACAGTGTAAAATGTTTGGAGGGTGTTTGGTGGGAATTAAAATTATATTTTTAGTGGATTGTGATAAAAGTTTTGAAACGTGTGGTTGAAAAGACGTGGAATTCATAAAAAATGTGGTTAATATTGATTATTTGACTTTGATTTAGATTACAATCAGATTTTAATCCGACCCATGCAGGCTTGGTATTGTTGGACTAAATTTTTCCATTTCCGTTGAGGTGTCAAATAGATTGTACTTGGATTACAAGCTTGTGAAATTATGTCCATGTTTAATCCCAATTTTTAAAATTGGCTTTTTTTTTTTTCCAAAATCATTTTCAATAACACATTTTATAGGACACATATTTATTTTATCAACTTTGTAATCGTACATTGCATCATTTTTTATCAAATTTTACTAAAAAAATTTTTTTTAGCCAAACCAAACAAGGGCTAAATGTTCGTCTAGTATGTATTGTACCTACCATTCTACTTTTACGATTTAGGTTAATCTTATTTCACTTGTCGTTACTATCAGAATTACGAGTTTCTTTTTCTTTGTCTATGAACATATTTCAATTTTTGTCAAATTGTCTCTAAGCCATTTCTTTTTCTCTTTTGACTGTTGCTACTTTGGTGCATCAAATGACTTAACTTTTACGTTTATCTCCCATGCCCCGAAAAAAGCAATTTAATAGAACATACAAAAGTAACTATTTAAAGCAGTCAAATTTATATATTTCAACTCTTTTTTTTTTTTTAAATCCAGTACTTAACAATAATCTAGCTAGACTTTCGACTTGTATGGTATTTGCAATTGAAAAGGCTTGACAACTTTTACAATCTTCGAGAAATAAACTGAAGATCAATCAATGAATGAAAAAATAAGCAATTATTAAAATTAATTTCTTGATCAGCAGAAGCTCCACAAACTGATATCAGCATCTTCATACGAATCCTCCATCATCAATGGATCAAAGAACACCCCATTGAGCGTATAATCATCGTACTTAGGTGAATCAAAGGTGTACCATGATGAGTTCATCATTCTGATCAATGGCTCATCTGCTACACATTCATGATCTTCAAATCGATCCGAGGGTGACGAAGTAGACGATGATAATGAGGGCGATGGCAAAGAACTTGATGATGATGTAACGGAGGAAATGGAAGTTGGAGATTGTACACACAAAATTTTCGCGTTTTCATTAAATATATTATCGTTATTTGTTGTTTCTAATTCTGATGCTGAAGGCAATGGCAAGGAATTTGATGATAAACAACTGGAGGAAACAGAAGGTGGAGACTGTGGACTCAAATTTGTTTCTGCTGCTGCTGCTGCTGCGATTCTTTGAATGGATTTAGGTGACAGAATGGCGTCGGGATTAAGATTTTGTGAAGGTGAAAACGGAAAATTTAGGTTTGCTGAAGGGCCCTTAAGGCAGAAGAGAGCTGCATCATATGCCCTAGCAGCTGCCTCTGGGGTTGAATAAGAACCTAACCAAATTCTTGTCTTTTGATTAGGTGCCCTTATTTCAGAAACCCAAGAACCCCAACTTCTCATTCTAACTCCCTTGTACTTCTTTTTGCACTGCGATTTTGAGGTCGAGGACGAAGACGAAGACGAAGATTTTTTATCTACCTTCACCATTGTTAGAGGGATTGAAGAATCTTGAAGGAGAAGTGATTGTGGGTTGATATTTATAAGCATAGGATTCAACAAACATTATAGTAAATTCTCGAATTCTTGTCCATCTTGTCCTCACATGGGCTTAATATCAATCATGCTATATGTACATCTTGTTTTACATTATTTTTGATATTGTGTCACATGTCGACACATGATTGGACGGTTTTTAAAAAAAAACACACACACACACACACACACTTTCCCGTCCAATACTTTTTGAATTTTCACACAATATACACTAAAATGTAACCCATGAAATGTACACTTAGCATATTTTAATAATAAATGGTAGAAAGAGAAACGAAGGATTTTAGGAGAAGCAGGTTCTTGGATACTGCGGGATGCTCATGGGAGTGTACAAATAATCTTATATATTACATTAAAAAAGAAAAAAATCTAAGAACGCGCAATAGAACAGTAAACATAGCGCATATTATCCTTAGCAGAAAAAAACAGCTGGTGTTGGTCTGTCATGCAAAAGCTCCTAAAACGCGTCTATGTTATCTTGAGTGAACAGCCCGTACTATTCTCTCATTCATCAATTATTTTTATCTATTTATAATTAAAACGACTTATAAACATTTTCTGGACATTTTTTTTACATGTATATGTCTCACACACAAGCTTCGATAATTGTGTTTTTTGGAACGAAACAAAAAAATATTTCAACTGTTATGCTCGTGGGAACGTGAAATTTAGTCCTTATTTGACAGCCATTATTTTCAGGCTCTTTTTTCTACATACTCATTTTTAAACCACATTCACACAATAAAATATTATGCACATAAGTTCAAATTTTTTCAATAATTTTTAAGAACACATTCTCTTAAAAATCATTATTCAAAACTTTATTTTTCCTCAATAATGATTGTGGAGGCTTTTTTTTTTTTGCGAAAATCGATGTGATTCTTTTACGGTATGGTACAACTAAAAAGATAACATTTTATTGGGAAAAGTGGTGTGCACACACGAAGATGAGCTTTTAGTTTGTCGCAAAATTCCTTCTTATTTGTCCACACTTGAGGAAATGAATTGTTCTTCTAATCTGAACATTGAAATACAATTAAATTCCCTCTATTGAAGAAAACAAAAAAAATTAGAGCAACTCAATGTCATGAATAGGATAATACGCGTTAAGTGAAAGTTTTCAAACGAGCTGTCAAAAGATGTCACTCCTCTTATTTCCAAACACTCAAAGTTAGGAACGATGTCGACATATCTGTTATACGATGTTTCCTTCTATTCTGAAAATCTCTAAATTAATAAGATACTGTGTGTACATGTGAAAGAAGGCATATCACATTTTTTGCATTTAGGCTGTCACAGGAACATGCCTAAGAAGAACAATGTCGGGTCAATCCGTACTTTATTCCTAGACAGAGATGGGAGCACACCTTAAACAGTATTAGGAATCAATTCATTAATTTTCACTAAATTAAACATTTTTAGTATTCGAATTAAACTAATGATGCATTGTTCTGATATAAAATCACAATAAAGTTGAATGTACAGCTTTATTTGACAGTTTTTTTCACAGCCCCCTCACATGGAGGTGGTAAACTAATGATGCATTGTTCTGATATAAAATCACAATAAAGATGAATGTACAGCTTTATTTGACAGTTTTTCACAGCCCTCTCACATGGGGGTGGGGTCCACAATCGCAAGCCCCACCCCCATGTGAGGGGCTATGAAAAAAACTGCCAACCAAGGCTGAAACTGTAGCTTGGTTCATAAAATCAGGTGGCTGTCGGTTGGAGTTCTTATTTATTTTAATTATTTTCAACTACAAATTTTATCGACTTTTATCAAAATCTACTAAAACTTCTATAAAAAAACTTCGTCAAACAACCCTTAATCATAAGAATCGCACCACCCTATGATCGCTTGATGTAGTATAAACTTGCCACAAACGACATAAGCTTCAATTATTAGTATTATTCTTGATGAGAAGTTTATTATGTCGGGGACATAGTGAACTACAGTGAGAGGAACTTCCGTACCAAAGATAAGCACGAATATGTCATGAAAGAGTCAAAGACTTGTAATAATAGAAGTTAGTATTAAATGATGGTGAAGTCATGAGCCAGCTAATGCTATCCAATTTTTTATTTTCATTTAATTCTCAAAAGATTTGGAGAGAAGAATATGAGGCTGCAAATCTTGAATTGTGTTGGACTATGAAGAGGCAAGATCCATGGGCAAGAACCAAGAAGCATCCTACGTTCACTGTGTTTGCTAAAGGAAATTTAAATATTGTACCAAGTTGGTGAATAGCAATCACTCGTTCTTAAAACCAGCATTTTTAAAACCCCTTGCACCCACAATGGTAAAGGTATTCCCTTTTGGGCAGGAACGTGGTTCACAAAATGTAAGACCCTATGCTGCCTGTGCTCGATTTCTCATTCTTTAAAACACCATCTTAGCACCCTGAAGAGTAAATAAGTAAAATAACCATAGGTCATTGTCAACCCCTGTAGCAGTAAAACTGGATTTCCTGTGGTTAAAATCCAACAGCTCTCGAATCTCAAGATTGAAATCAATCCTAGCATGGAGATATGACTGTCAAGGAAAGTATAGGTTGAGAACAAGGGCAAGCTACATCATTGTGTTAGGGATGGCAAAAAAAACACGTTTTACTCGATACCCGTGGGATCCCGCCCCCCTACACGTTTTACTCGATACCCGTGGGATCCCGCCCCGAAGGGGGGCGGGAATTACCCGTCTAACCGGGTAAACGAGGACGGGGACAGGACGATGATCATTGCCCCAAAGCGGATATGGGATGGATACGGAAAATATAGTTTCCGCCCCGTTACCCACCCCGTTTAAAGTTAATTTCAAATTTAAGTTTTTTATCAAACAAATATAGTAACTTTATTATTATTTTTTAAGAGAACATAAGTTGTTTTTAATAAATTGGTAAAAACATAATACTAACTAAAGACATAAAAAAGTAAAAAGTAAAAAATAAATAAAAATAAAAAGAACAAATAAATGGAACGATAAATGGGGTAGAAGACTTGCCCCGCCCCGCCCCGACCCGATCCGATCCCGTCCCGAACCTGCCCCGTCCCGCTTTAACCAGGTATGGAGATGGGGTAAGGTAACAAAAAAACCCGACGGAACGGGGTGTGAATGGCCAACTCGTCCCGTTGACATCCCTACACTGTGTTCAATTTACGAGTTCATGAGTGATAATTAGCAAGAATAAAAGACTAGATTTTCCAAGTTCCATCTATTCAACAAAAAATTAATAGAAAGCAATTGGTAAATAATGTCAACTTACAACTTTAGAACTTGAGTAATTTGTACAGACAACAGTAACCTGTGCGCGTATAGTTTCAAAGCTTGCTGGAAATAAATGACAATGGATAACAGAACACGAAGGAAGAGGAAAAGGAAAAGGGATTAGTTCAGAATGAATTAACATATGGTTCTTATTTGGCCATGGAACCAAGAAAATTAAATAGTTGAAGTGTGACAGAAAAATAAATAGGTTTCTGCTTTTTTCATGTGAAGCAATCTACCGCTATCCATTTTGTGAATTTATTACAGTAACTGATTTGAATTTGGAAGAAAATTCTGATACAACCATGTACAAGTCCAAAGCAAGCTGCTAAATTTGGCACAAAGTAAACTTGAATCTTTATTAGAACGTTGGAAGTGAGCGGACCTGTGGAGTACATCGTGAATATTATACAAGATCAAAAATGGAAGTTCAGAAAAATTCTAATCAAACTGTGTATAGATAAAACAAAACCAAAAGTGTCAAATGAACTAGTAAACAACTTACGGAAGAGATGAATATTTTACCTGTGTTTCAGCTGTGCTCTGTTCTGCAGTGTACTTCTTAGTTTTCAGTATCAAAAAGAAGCATTATCAAATGAACTCAATGATCTGATTATGGACTCATAAACTTGTATTCCCTCTAGATAAACACTATCCTTCAGATGCTGTCAATAAAGCAACATTAAAATCTATATGAACTTTCGAAGTACATAGAGCAATGAGTTATTCATAATTGACATGAAACTAGCGTCACCTCATTATGGTCATGGAGTAATATGGGAGTATTCTTCATTGGAGAAAAACCAAAGGTAGGAATTCCCATCCGTCTCATGAATCGAGCATCAGTAGTTGAAGTCAAGATCTCAGGCTTCGCAAGCTTCCCACCAGCTGCTTCAACAGCTTGCTTAAAAATAGACCACCAAGGGTTGGAATCATTAGTGGCCGTCATTAAAGGTCGTCCCATGAAGTCTTTGAGGGTACCTTTCTCTGTAATCTGCCAGTACAGAAAAGTTATCAGCAATCACCCGCTAACTACTTATTTGGATGCATGGGTAGAAGAGAAAATATAGGACTTCTATAGTAAGGGAACAGAGATGAAGAAAAAGTGAAAAGAAAATTCATGGCAACTGAATAGCTTCTGTCCATTGCCAATACAGATCCAATCTCTAATATTTTTCCCTCTATTCCTATCATCAAAACCTTCTTGAATTTCATTTAAGAAACTGAGAATTTCAAACATCTCTTCTCAACCTTATTTCAACTCATCAAGAAACCTAAATATCTTGTTCCAGTGGGATCCCAAAGAGAAGTAATTATCAAAGACGTGGTTAATGAAGAACTGAAGAAAAAATTAAACCCCTCAAGTGTGCCTTTGTCTAGGTCAATTGAGTAGTAGAAGCCCAATAGATTCTGTCAGGCAACTATAGATCTTTATGACAATATTAGTAATGCAGCGTTTTCTTATTATTACTAACCCGAATGAGAAGTTAGTCAATTTACACACTAATCTGTTTCCTAACTATATTGTGTTGATATGAAACATAGCATTTGTTGTAGTTGACACCAGTACATGCACTCTGACAAAGTACATGCTCATATTCTATGATTATTGAGGCCCAACTCATCACTTATGATGCTCGGACACGGGTACGGGTACAGGTATCAAGTACATGTACGCATTTAAGTATCGGATCTTTTATTTTTTTAAATGTAGGACGCGGGAACACAACTAAAAATAGTCCAACTTTTGGACACAGGTATGTGTTTATGTCTTTCAAACTTCAATTTTTTTACTAACCCAAGATATCATTTTGAATAGACCAAAATCAATTATTCACATAGAAGGAAATGAGTATTGAATAATATGTTAAGACGAATAAAATTGAATTTTGGGATTTAGTTTTCAATTATGAGAAGTTAATTACGAAATGTTATATAAAATAAATAAATACAGGACTTCATTGCAATTTGAAATTAGTGGAGTACTATGTAACATTATATAGAACCCATTTTTATTTTATACAAACAAAACTCTAAACTACCAATACCGACAAGGAAAGAAGGAAAAAAAAAGAACAAAAAAAAGGAAAGGAAAAAGAAGGGAAAACCTCGTGCCACAGCCTTTCTCCACCTTCGAGGAGGTGATGCTAAGTTTACAGAGATGAGAAATGAGAAAGAAGAAAAGGAAAATGAAAGAGAGAAAAAGAAGAAGAAAAAATGGAAAAAGTGTCCGATTGAAATTTGGAGGATCTGACACATATTCTATACCCATTCCCATGTCATGTCGTGTCTGACACGGGTACTCTAACCATTTTGAAGAGTCCAAACATCAAAGCTCATTACTACTGCATTATTTGCCAAAAAAGTGTTTTCTTCTTGGCACTACCACAGCTCGTCCAAGTGTTATCTTTTCCTTTAAGAACTTTCAATAAACGTGTGCGCGCGCACATTCGCTTTTAATCTAAATGGTCCTCCTAGGGGAAACATGCCACCTATTTTATAGGCTGTAAGTGAAGTGCATGGTAGAGGGGTCAAGGACGAGTGGGGAGTGAAAATATCAATGCAGCAAGAACGACTACATGCATCATAATCCACTTATTAAGACAAGTATAGATCTTCATGGGACTATGGAGGAAGTTAAATTGTCTTTTCTAGGATTCCTTACCACACCACACAGAGACTCTGATAACCAATGCTTAGAAAAGAAAAATGAAGTATTAACAAGAAAAACTCACTATAGACCATTTTTCATAATCAATTATTTCTTAACCAATCAATGTCATGACATTAATCCCAGATAAAAATAGCTGAACCTTGAAATGGTGCAAAATTATTGTTTAACCTTGCACAATAAGTAGAAAACAGAAAGGCATCCATTTAAGTAAGGAGTATCCATGCAAAGATCGAGTGCCGCTGTTACAGAAAGAATAGAGAAACCCAACATACACATAAAAGAAATCTGTATAAAAGCAAAAGAAAAAAGAGTAGGTTTTCTTTTGCAACATGTACAAATCTTCAAATGAATTATCAGTGACACCACATTCAGCAGGTAAGATCATCCATGGCCTTTTACGGTTTGTTGTGGCCTCCTAAATTCTTTATAGTAAGGATATATCCATTTTGATCCCTCTAAACCCCCTCCGCTCTACATGTTTAGAAGAAAATTTAGTTGATTAGAATTGATTCAGTTTACAGTTTACTGTTCACCAAATGCCTATGTTTTGAGATTATAATTAGTCAATTGCCTTTAACTTCCAAAATTTCCAAATTATAATTATCAAAACGATTGTGCTACATAATGATATCTCTTTCGACCATAATAGTTCCACATTCACCTCACATGTCATGTTCCTCCATTCAGGTGCCCACTCCTCCGCAATTTTCTTCCTCATAAGATCAGGATCTGCTGTTGGTGGCTGCCGAATGTCAAATCCCGCCTCCACTTCAGATGGTTGCATATTCATCACAAATCCCTGATCATTCAAACACATTAGCCAGCATAAACTACTAATACAAATCAATCACAAAAAAACTTATCACCAATATTTGTAAACACACCGTTGGGGATGGAATTCCGGCTTTCAGAAACACAGGATTAACCGAAATAACTTCTGAAGGGTCAGCCAAACCAGCCTTAACAAGATCAAATTGATTTTCCCTAAACTTAGTGATAACCTCTATACTCTTCATCATATTTTCCATAGCACTATTATCATACATTCGAGACCCATGGCCAGGTACTCCCGTGGCTTTGATCACCACATGCCACGGGGACCTGTCAGCGTAAAACGTCCTAAACTCCTCAGTAGTTGATGCCTGGCCTTCATCCAACACGAACCCAACTTTCAACTTCTTGAACTCTTCAGATTCAACAAACCTAGCCATCCCATCAAATCCCCCCACCTCTTCTTCTGGAACATAACATATATGCACGGTCCTTGTTGGAGAATAATGAAAATTAATTTCCAACTCTTTGATGGCCTCTAAATACTGCATTCCGATGCATTTATCGTCCTGTGCGCCACGAGCGTAGATTTTTCCGTCAGGGGATAAGTGAGCTTCAAAAGGGTCGTGCAACCACTTGGAGGACTCGGCGGGGACGGAGTCGAGATGGGAGTTGAGAAGGACGGAGGGGAGGGAGGGATTAGAGCCAGGCCAAGTGAGGAGGAGAAGAGGCTTATCTGGAGTGGTGAAGTAAAGGGTTTGGATCAGGAGAGTAGGGATGGTGCGAGCAAAGCTAGTAAGGTACTCGACGGCGGTGTTGTAGTCTGGATTGGGGTGGGCGGTGTTGATTCTGAGGTAGTTTTGGAAGCGGGTTATGGGGGTGGTGGTGGGAGGGAGGCCGATGGCTGATGGTTGGAGTATTAAGAGGAGGTTCACCGCCGCGAAGAGCGGAAGGCAGCGGTGGTGCTTGGACATGGTTCGCTGATTGAGTTGACTACTTGTGTAGGAGTTACTGTTTGAAAATAAAGTCACCAAGAGGAGTTCCCTACAGTAACTATTTTTTACAGATGCGAACTAAAATCGTTTGAATTGAATCGGTCATCTTTAATTGACTAAAAGCGTTTTTGCCTAAAATCGTATTGTTTGAGTAATTTTTTTTTGGGGACAATCTATACCATCGAACAAGTCAATAAAACATGTATTCATTATTCAATATATTGCTTTTATGACTATGGAAAATTGTAGATTAGAGCTTGAATTTACTATCTCGAAAATAATGTATAATAAACTATTTTTGACACATCGATATATTATTTCTTATTAACGAATGAAGTAAAAATGATAACAATAACGACTATATTTTCAATTTTAATTCGATTTTAAGTACGATTGAACACGCCCTAAAACGAGATGTCAGATCAAATGTCCATTGCCATTTTTGCCATGTCAAGATTTTCGAGAGGAGGACGGGGATTAAAAATTCTCATTTTCGAAGCGGATTGAATTTGGGGATGCTATAAGATGTCAACTAGTATTTAGGAGACCAACTCGCTAAATTTTGCCACAATTTGGGGACCGATCTTCCAATTTTGCCATAAAATTCTATACAATCCAAACCAGTTGAAGAGCGTGGGTGCTCAACCTAATTCTACAGTAGTTGTCCTAACTGGCACTTCATTTCCTAAATGGAACGATATGATTGGTTTAAACTAAAGAGTAGATGCGTGGAGCGAAGACACGAACTTTTTATACCCACTCGCATTTTGTCACGCGATTTTAATAATAATTGGTCTACACCTCCACTCAATAGGCGCGTGGGTTCTTCTCATCTACTCCAAGAAGAAATTCAACCTGCGCATTTTGCACAAATCCGATCCCATTCCAGCCTTCAACCTCTCAATTGTACTTACAAATTTACGCACGCACACGGTTATACTGATGAAGTCAGTAGAGATCTGTATGTTGGGGGTGGTGCTAATGGTGGTGGGGCTGGTGGTGCCCGTGGCGCGGGGTATATGGTTGGAAGTACCGAGTTCAGGAACAAAGTGTGTGTCTGAGGAATTACACAGCAAAGTCGTCGTTTTGGCTGATTACTTCGTCGTTGGCGATGAGCATCATATAAATAATACCATTGTTCCCACCATTTCTGTTAAGGTAAATACGCCTCTTTGCTTATATGGTTGATCTTCCGTTCCTCCTAGGGTTTTTGTTTTTTATTTTGATCAGAAAATTGGTTTTGTGATTTGGCTATTGATCACGTTACTATGATCTTCGATAAGTTAATTCGTAACGTGTTAATGTGTTCATGATAATTGGTAGAATTTGGGAGTGGATAGAAATTCCAAAGTAGAATTGCAGTGAATGTTGAAGTTGCATTTACTTTAAAAATTGGAAGTTTATTTTTCTTCGAATATTAAAACATATCGTAGCTGCCAAGAAGAAACAACAAGAATAAGAGAAAGAAACTTATTATTTGTATTTAATTAATTTCCTAATATATTTCATTATTATTCCAGCGGTAACGGATTCACTTTGTCCACATTGACTGTACACAAGTTCTATGTTGAACTTGTTTTACATTGTCCGAATTGTTTGCAAGCTTTCAATTGTAAGAAATTACAAAAAAAGTGTAAGAAAAAAAAATTGATTCTAAATGATTGAATCAAATTGGTTAGCTCAGACTTTGCATGATGTTAATTGAGCAAGGAGTAAGATGTTGATGGTTTTCATCATTTGAAATATCAATTCAATTTAACTAAGTTCTAAATGATGAGTAAGATGGGTAAATGAGAATGATCTGGATCTATGGCGATTGTACTGTTACTAATTATTATGAGGGTGTTTGGTGGGTATTAAAATTGGATTTTTAGTAGATTTTGATAGAAGTTTTTGAAATGTGTGGTTGAAAAGTTGTGGGACACATGAAAGATGTGGTTAATATTGATTGTTTGACTTTGACTTGGATTAAAATCAGATTTTAATTCGGACCAAACATGAACTGTATATAGAGAGAAAATTAGTGTGTTTTATACATGGTCATGTTGAGCTTCAGCCATTTCTTTATGGAGGTGGCAACTGGCAATAGATTTCAGAGAAAATGGACGTGAGGCATCAAGAGTGGTGATTTTTATCAGTTTGTCTGCATAAAATAGTAATTCACATCTAGAATAAAGAATCATTTTGAGGTACTTGGATGATGCTCAACTAAAGCTTTGTCAAGAGTTTCATGGAGAATTAGTTTATATGTCATCCGTGTAGTTAGGAAACTTGAAAGTCTTTCCCTTTTAAATCTTCTGAGGTTTCCTAGAATGACCTTGAAAATGTCGCTATTTTTAGTGTGGGGTAAGGGGGCGAGGTTGATGAGTTTTACAAGCGAGGGATCAATGAATTTTGGAAGGATTGCAGAGTGTGTAAAGTAAAGATCATGAGCTACAGCAAGGTAGTATGGTTGCGTGTTCTGTATGTATAACATATGTAGGTCCTTGACATCAACATATTGTTAAACTAAATTCGAGAGAAAGGCTTCATAATTATGATTGATAGTGGAAAATTTTTGTGAGGATTTTCAAATACATTGAAATGACAACATATTTCATTTCATTTCATTTTTGCCTCATTTTGGTAGTCATGCCACTTCCTAGTATATTGTTTTAGTATCAAATTTTCAGTTAACTTAGTCTGTTAATGGGAAAGAGAAATCAGAAACTTAAAAATTTCCCTCAAAAGCACTGCGTTATACTTGCATTGCTCTTTGTGTTGGTTGAACAGTGAAGTTGCAAATAAAGATTTTTAACTATACTTTTGTCTTAGATCCCAGTGGAAGTCTCATACTTGAATCATCTTTTTAGGTTACTTCACCATACGGTAACAACCTTTATCACCAAGAAAATGTCACCCATGGTCAATTCGCCTTCACGACAACTGAGTCTGGCAACTACTTGGCATGCTTCTGGATTGATAACAGTCATAAAGGAGATAGGGGTATGAGTGTTGGTCTTGACTGGAAAACTGGAATAGCTGCTAAGGATTGGGATTCAGTTGCAAAGAAAGAAAAAATTGAAGTAAGTTAACCCTCAAAACTGTCATTGTTATTTTAATGCCCTGATTACAATAGCAGTGATAATAATCTCTCTCTCTTTAAACACTCGTGTCATATTTTTTTTCTTCCTCTACATTCTTGGGACAATTATTTTTTTCCTTTAGGGTCTAGAACTTGAGTTACAGAAGCTTGAAGGAGCCGTGGAAGCAATCCACGACAATTTAATCTATCTGAAAGACAGGTAATTCACAGTTCAACTATCAAATGTGTTCTTTTCTTTATCATCTCTCTTTTGCCTGATTCTTCTCTTAAGAATTCTTTCAATTTTGAATTTATTCTACTTCTTCGTCCTCTCATTATGTGGGAAGTTGAGTTCTGTCAATTTGCCATATTTTTTTGGAGGATTAGGGGACGAAATTTATTTTGTTCAAATTGGCTAAATAAAATAGTTGACTGTCTTTGTCAAATAGCAACTTATTATGTTGAGAACCATGAGATCTTGGATTTAAATTTGGAATGCAATTATTTCATGTAAGAATTTCGGAGATTTAGGCCCGATTGACATACACAAAACACGATAATAGTGATGAACTTCTCTCAATAGAGTAGAAACCTTGGTTATACAACTACTTTTAGCGTGAAGATTTTTTTGTTTACAAGTAATTTTTTCTTTTTATGTTACTTCCGAATAGCTTCTGAATCTATTTCTGCCTTTTATAGAAGAGCTTTTTGAGGGAGCCACGTTGAGCCAATTTCCTCTAAAAACTCTTCTAATCAAACCAAACAACTTCGAAAAATTATCTAAACAGGTCCAAAAGCAACTTTTTAATCTAAAAAACAGCTTGTATTTCAGTGTATTCCGGAGTTTGGAATATAAATGAAGCCCCTTTTCTTCAAGAACAGAATACCGAATGATTTCTAGTCGACTTGGTAGAAACTCGTGTTTGGACTTTGTAATAGTACCTTTTTATTGTCAAAATGTAACAGTAATTAATAAAAGTCAAAATGAATTACTAATATGTCCTTTGTGCTTGCAGGGAAGCGGATATGAGGGAAGTGAGTGAGAAAACAAATGCTAGAGTGGCTTGGTTAAGTATCATGTCCCTTGGCGTCTGCGTTGTGGTTTCGATTTTTCAATTGTTGTATTTGAAGCGCTACTTTCAGAAGAAGAAACTAATCTAGAATTTTACTGTTCATTTTTAGGCTCTTAGATATTTCAATAACTCTGTAATTTTGAAGAACGCAGAAATTTTCCATACGCTCACGCACCGTACTGTATGACCCTGTATTACTAGTGAATGCCTATTTCATACTAAATTATACTTGAAGTGGCTTGCATATTTGGTTGGTGATTGAATTATGATTTAAGTAATTATAAGTCGTGGATTTTATGGAATGTGTGCTTGTGAAACCTGACCGTGACTGGAAACGACTCAAAGACAGAAATCTACGCATGACAAAAATAACCATACATGGACTTGGATGATTATTGTTGCGCCCAAATTGGCATGAGCCATGTTGCGCCCAAATTGGCAAAAGTCCAATTGGTCAAAGCCCAGTGGTTCAAAAGTAAAGAAATGGCTTAAGTCCATTTTTCGAGGTGCATCGGCTGAAGCTTAGAAATTTCGAGGCACCATTGCTCGAAATCCAATTTGTCGTCGAGATCCAAAATTATCGAAGCACCTCAATGTCGAGGCTCGAGAGAAAGCGGAAGCACTAAACAATTTGATAATGTTCCGACGCTGAAGCACCACTTGTTCAACTGAAGCTATGAAGCCTATACCTCAAATCGAGGCTCAATAAAGCTCAACTCAGACAAGTGTTGACCTACGATTAAGATTTTAAAGTGCATAAAATTCTCTTGGAATGATTGATTGGACAGTTACAATGAATATAAATGGTTAATCATGTCAACAAAGGGTATGTGTTGGCCGCTTTTTTCAGAAGCATTTAATGCGCCACAAACTAAAACAGTAAAAAAATGATGCATATGAGGTGATGTTTTGGTTGATGGGATAATACCACGTGTCCCCCCTCATCCAATGGTTATTATTGTACTTGTAATATTATAAATAAACCCTCTTAGTGTCATGATAGGGGTTGGAAAAATGGAAGATCGATAATGCAAACATACTCTCTTTTTTATGTTGGAATTTTGAAAAAGAATATTGTGCAATTTCGGTGTTTACTTTGTTTCTTTGTTAATCGTTCATTATCGTATTTTGTTGTTTTATTATTTACCGGATCTCGAACATATTTGTCTCATATCAAAAGCTTCTTCCACGTTCAAACTCAATATTTTCGACTAGTTACCTGTCAACACGTGTCAGAATTAGTTTGCCAATATGCGAGTGGACATGGTATCTGTTTGTGCATTTTTTGTGGTCAACAGAATGTGTGGATAATAAGTGAATTATAATTGTGGATAGTACAAAATGCATTGACAAAAAGTAGGTTTGCATTTTCATGAAAAGACATGAAAATATTCCAACAATTTTTCTTTATCTGTTCCGCCAATTCTTGCTGACGAAGCTTGTGATTCTATTCTCCCGAAAAAAACCCAAAACTTGAATGTCGTGGCTGTCGATTATTTCTTGATCGGCAAAATACGGTTGGGATATTTTTAATGGATAAAAATTTGTGCATTGATGGTGCGTGTGGGATGCATATCGCATGTAATATTAAACAAAGTTAAATGGTACTGTTAAAATGATATTGCTTTCTTTTTAGATTGTGATAGAACTCATTACACGTTATGTCATTGGGAGAATAGACTCCTTAGGTCAAGCATTTTCTTCTCTAATTGAACAAGTGGAATGGTTCGACTCATGTTAAAAACTGCATTTGGCACTTTTTTACTGTAATAATTCGATTGAACTGAACTAACTCTTTGCTTCTACGAGTAGCTCAAGGAAAACTAACCTTCACTTGTGAAATTCAATGACAATTGCCACCCGACACTCGAATCGAGTGAGAAAAAAGGGTGGAAGTAACTATTCAACTCTCGAAAAAGCTTTTATAGAAGTCTTTGAACAAAACAAGTTAAAGGCCCCCACGTCACGACATTAATACAACGTCGACTAAACTTTTACAAATTGAATACGAGACTTCTAAGTCTTCAAACCTCAACTTTCGTTATTTGAGTCAAATCATGTCGACAATTCAGTAATCAATGATAAATTCAAGAAAATATCATTTTTCACAAAAATTGAAAAGACAAACAAATAAGAAAGATCCGAATCTATGTTCCATGTTTCCAAAGGAACCTAGTTTTGTTTTCCTCTCTTTTAGTGGACAGAGATAAGTGGCACAGTCAGCTTACTATTAGAATTCATCAATTGCCACCCAACTTTATATTCAATGACATCATCACCACACAATATGATTTTGTTGTACCATGATCACCCATTTTTATCCTTGTCACCCAATTTCGTATAACATTTCTTTATGATCACCCAATTTTTTTCACCATTTTCATTTATTTTAAAAGGGATAAAATGATAATTTTGTATTATATATATATATATATAATAAATTTTTAAAAAGTGAACCTTTTATTTTATTTTATTTTTCTAAGTAACATTTTTTTAAATAAGTTTATATTTTATTTTAATTTTTTTTTAAAAAATAATTCTTTATTTTATTTTAACAACTTTTTTTTAAATAAGTGTTTATTTTTTTTTAAGTACCAGTGTTTTTTAGAGCATATTGGTGCATATTAAAATGAGAGAANGATTGCATTTTTTTTATGTGATGGAGAATATGTAGTTAAAAAAGAAGGAAATGTTATTGATGTGATAGAAAATATTATTTTATTGAAAAATGTGTGGTTGAAAATGAGTAGAAAAATGAGAATGAAAAATATAATGTAAGTCAAACATGGGCTTAAATAAGTTTTTATTTAAAATATAATTTAAAGTTATCATTCTGTCCCTTTTAAAATTAGTGAAGATAATCAAAATAAGTTGATTGACCATAATGAAACATTATATAAATTTGGATGGTTATGCTTAAATAAAATCAAATTTGGTGGTCATGATGACACTAAGTATAAAACTTGGTGACCATGATGAAACAAAATCAAATTGAATGGTCATGATGACACTAAGTATAAAGTTGAACGATGTGAATTTAAACCTCAGAAGACATGATAAGAATTCAAGAAAGCAAACAATAATTTCTTGTTGAGATCACATAAAAGCAGAATCACATCCCACTTATTATAATCCCATTTTTTCCCAATGATGAGGTGAGAATCAACTTAACTCAACGTTGGAATCTTAGTACGATTGCACCAAACTTAGTGCTCGTTTGGTATAGATTAAAATTCAATTAAAATTGAAATTATATCCCTTATTGGGTCTCACTCGTCTAATAAAAGTCAAGAATAACTACTAGTTTTTCAATTTTAATCTCTACCGAACACACCCTAAACTTTTATTTGATTTTGAATTAGACATTAACTTCGTATGGATGAGTTTTTTTTTTTTTACTTTCTTTTATTTTTTTAATATTGTCTAGAACACTTTAATCTATCTACAAGTTTACACTATCAAACATGCTTAACATACTAGACGCGTGATTCAATCGAGCTTTAAAATGGAAAATAGAGACATTCATCGAATAAGAATTTATCATCATGTTACGAGAAAATCCCAAATTTTTTTCTGAAATAAGAAAAACCACACATTTAATTATACTCTTATGATCTTGCCAACTATTAGTGCATTTTAAGAATAATTTTGTATACTATGAACAATGTCCTTTTCCTAAGTACCTTTTTTCAAAAGCCTTAAGGAATGGGTAAGAAAATTTCCCCTACGCAACAAAAGTTGTGCAAAAATGATATAACCAAACATCATTGAGAACGCCATAAAATATCTACGATGGACATTAGTATTGTTATCGACCCCTCGTTTTTTTTATTCAATTCCGTCCAATCGAATTTATAAGAAGTTTTATTATTTTCTTTTATTGGATCTTTCGGTTTTCTTTATAAGTCTCCAAAGACATTATACATATTACTAAACCATATTTTGATAAAATTTTTTTTTTTTTTTTTTAATGTTCTATATTTAATCATGAGTTTTAGGCTTTACCGGTTGAATTTTAGGTTACATGTCAATTTTATGAGTTAAATTAAGTATAATTATTAGATGTTACTCAAACAATTCCAAACTTTCTTTTCACACGTATGAAATTTGACTAATTTCACACGTGTACGTATATACATTCTCAAACTTTCCTCGAATGAATATAATCAATCAACAACGGCTTCCATTCCACATATATATAGTTGAAAATGGACTAATTTTAAACGTGTACTTAACATACTCTACAATGAAAAACACTTCACTCGAACTCCGACTAATTTTTTTCAATTTAATTAGGTAGGAAGCAAATCATTCAAAGCAACCTCATATAATTAGAAAAGGGTGAATTATATATACATACCATTTTCAAGAAAAGGTGTCCACTCATCTACCATTAATATCCCTACTTTTGCATCACATAGCACCAAATTCTAATAACATTACATGGTCAATACATTCAAACTCCACTTCACAAATAATATATAAAAATAGAAATCATTTCTCCAATGAAGAGACCTCTTTATCTTTATTGGAACATTTTTGTCTATAATTTATGCAAATGATTCTTGTTGCTTGAAGTATGGGTAGTATTGGAGTTTGATGGATTAGGAATATTGAAAGAGGATTAAAAAGTTAGTGCCACCATGCATACACACACTCGAGCAAGTACGTGAGCGCGCATATACGCATATTTTTTCTTGTTTTGTGTATAAAAGGCCATAGGATTTCCCATTTATGTTCATTCCACGCAGTAGTTGTATAAGAGAAATTAAAGAGTACTAAGATGGGAGACCAAACCTCATGGGGGATGACGAGTTTAGCTTTCAATAAGATGAAACCCTACTTGGCCATGATATCTTTGCAATTCGGCTATGCCGGAATGTACATTATTACCATGGTGTCGTTGAAGCACGGATTTAGTCATTGGATTCTTGTCGTCTACCGCCATGCTGTGGCCACACTAGTTTTCACTCCCTTCGCATTTTTTCTTGAAAGGTTCATTTACGTATATCTAGTTGAATTTTTTTTCTCCAAATTTGATTCATAGACATAGTGTACGAGGACCATATTTTTTGTTGATATATATTAAATTAATTAATCGTACAATTTAATACCCTTTTGCAGGAAAACAAGGCCAAAGATGACACTGTCAGTTTTTCTAAAGATAATGCTGCTAGCTTTTCTTGAGTAATTCCCTTTCAACACTTCTCATATTATGTTTGCATATATATATATATATTAAATAACTTAATGGTGCATATTACACGACGATCAATTGAACTAGACATGTTTAGTCTTGTTATGTCCAATTTACTTAACAAATAAAAAATAA